CTGAACAGAGATGTCACAGGATCATGCGACATTTAATGCTGGAAAGAACCTCAAAAGATCATCTAGTCCAAACCCACTGCTCAAAGCAAGGTAAAGTAGAACAAGATGCTCAGGACATTGTCCTGTCAGGTTTTCAGTATCTCTAAAGCTGGAGAATCGTGCAACTCTTTGTAGAAAAAGCTGTGGTGTTTTGCCACCCTCGGCAGGAAATAAAGCTTTTTCTTATGAGTAAATGGAATTTCTACCATTTCAATTTATGTTCTAGAGATCAATACACTGAAAGAAAATGCTCAGTGGCTGTTTGAAAAGGGTAAGCCAGGGCTCAGCTGCTATAAGCTTCTGGGAAGCCATGGAGATAGACTGTCTTGTGTCACCCACATATCTGCTCCCTTCGCACCTTCCAACCTTTAGCAGCTCCTGGTTCTTCTCTCCATGCATTCTTCACCTCCACACATTTCATATCACATTAGACCTTTCATCCAAAATGCTTAACGGGAGGCAGAGCTATGTAAGCCACAGGAAAATGCTGGCATGGGGACAACAAATGAAGTTCAAAAAAGATGTAGCCCAATTGGAAAGATGCAGAGCAGAACAACTACTGAAGAGGTGGGATGACTGCTGCGCTGGAATGACATAGGACTCTTCAAGCCTAGACAACTGATGGGTAGCGTATAAGTGATGTAAGCTGCTATGAGGCCATGGAGCAAGTGTGCCATTGAGTTTGATAATTAAGGACCAGGCCTTGCTCTAATGAGTGACAGATTCAAAGCAAGCAAAGGACCTATAGGTCTCCTTGCTCCAGATGATTTGGATGTTTGACACTTTCCTGGGTTTTCTTATAGTTTATTTCAGTTTGTGTAAGCTTAATAGGCCATTAAGGGCTGTTAAACACCAAGGTCTTGCCTCTGCATCCGGAAGTCCCTGTACCCCTGACAGCTGGATGTGGAAAGAACATTCCGAAGATGTTCTGCTACAACCTTATTTTGCTTTTGTGAAGCTCTGCCCTATGGCCTCTGCTGTAGCCCATGTTGCATAAGAAGCGACTGGGCTAGAGGATCCTTAGATCCAACCAAGTGCAGAACTGTTAATGACATAAAGCCACCACTACCCACTTGAAGGTTGGTAACTGTCTCTCAGTGTGAATAAAGGAGGAAAACCAGAGAACGAACTTCTTTTACAATGGGACTTGACAAACCTCTTAAAGCAGAATTTAGGAGGCCAGGCCAACAGGTTGTTTCAGTGCCTCAGGATGTGTAATTACAGCCCTAGGAATGGGCCAAGAGAATCATAGAATCATAGGTTGGAAAAGACTTCATCATGATCAAGTCCAAACATCAACCAAACACCATCATGCCTAGTAAACCATATCCCAAAGAGCCACACCTACATATTTTTTAAGCACCTCCAGGGATGGTGACTCAATCACCTCCCTGGGCAGCCTGTTCCAATGTCTGACCACTCTTTCAGTAAAGAAATTTTTCCTAACATCTGATCTGAACCTCCCTTAATGTACCTGGAGGCCATTGCCTCTCATCCTATCACTAGTTACTCGGGAGAAGAGACCAACACCTGCCTCACTACAACCTCCCTTCAGGTAGTTGTAGAGAGCAATAAGGTCCCCCCTCAGCCTCCTCTTCTCCAGACTAAACAGCCCCAGCTCCCTCAGCTGCTCCCCATAAGACTTGTTCTCTAGACCCTTCACCAGCCTCGTTGCCCTTCTTTGGACACGCTCCAGCACCTCAATGTCCTTCTTGTAGTGAGGGGCCCAAAACTGAATGCAGTACTCAAGGTGTGGCCTCACCAGTGCCGAGCACAATCACCTCCCTACTCCTGCTGGCCACACTATTCCTGATCCAAGGCAGGATGCCATTGGCCTTCTTGGCCACCAGGGCACACTGCTGGCTCATGTTCAGCCAGCTGTCAACTAACACCCCAAGGTCCTTGTCTGCTGGGCAGCTTTCCCGCCACTCCTCCCCAGGCCTCTGTCATTGCATGGGGTTGTTGTGACCCAAGTGCAGGACCCAGCACTTGGCCTTGTTGAAGCTCATACAGTTGGCCTTGGCCCATCGATCCAGTCTATCAGATTCGTCTGCAGAACCTTCCTACCCTCAAGCAGATTGACACTCCCCACCCAACTTGGTGTCATCTGCAAACCTACTGAGCACTCCATCCCCTCATCTAGATCATTGATAAAGATGTTAAACAAGACCGGAACAAAAACTGAGCCCTGGGGAACAGCAGTTGTGACTGGCCATCAGCTGGATTTAGGGCTGTGAACTAATACTCACCTCACAAAGAACTCTGCTAGTTGAAGACATGTTGTGGTTACAGAGTTGTTTCTTCTGCTCTTCCCGCTGATGGCAAAGGTGTGTTCGTCTCTACGTCTGCACAAGAGGGGCCACATTCCCAGATACAAAATATAGAAGTTTCAGCCAAGAGGAATAAAATACCTCTATCTGGGATGGCTGTAACTAATACTCACCTCACAAAGAACTCTGCTAGTTGAAGACATGTTGTGGTTACAGAGTTGTTTCTTCTGCTCTTCCCGCTGATGGCAAAGGTGTGTTCGTCTCTACGTCTGCACAAGAGGGGCCACATTCCCAGATACAAAATATAGAAGTTTCAGCCAAGAGGAATAAAATACCTCTATCTGGGATGGCTGTATGAGGATGGATAACTGTATCCTAACACAGAAATTCTTGTTTCGATTTACACTTCTGCCCCTTACCAAAGAAGCCATGCCAGGATGGGTAAGGGATTGAAGACATCATGATCTAACCACTGGCACTTGGGGTGGAAACAGGAAACGGTGGTAAATGCTAGCATCATTTTTATATTACAATAAAGCTTAGTTTTATATTGGTATCTGAACAGGGTTTATTCAAAAAAGCCTGTCAAAGTAATGCTAAAGAAGTGGGAAGCAGACGTGAAAACCAGCATAATTAAGACAGATGGGTACATAGCCTCAAAGGAATTAAGGAATCCATTAAGGCTGGACTGTCAGTTCAGAAGAGCTGCGTTGACTGAAATCACCCCAGCTTCCACAATAATCACAGAATAGCTGAAGCTGGAAAGTACCTCCAGACATCATCTAGTACCAGCCTCCCCCTAAGAGCATGGTCAGCTAGGGCTTGGGGCTGTGCCCAGTTGGGTTTTGAGTAGCTCCAAGAATGGAGATTGCACAATCTCTCTGTGCAGGCTTTTCCTTTGTTTGACCACATTCACTGTGAAAAAGTTTATTTTTAAGTGGGATTTCCTGTATTTCTGTTTGTTGCCACCGCCTCTTGTCCTTTCAGTGGGCACAAATCAGAAAAGTCTGGCTTTGTCTTCATTCCCACCACCTCTTGTCCTTTCCCTGGGCACCAGTGAGAAAAGTCTGGCTCTGTCTTTACTCCTTTCCAGTCAGACAGCCCAAAGATTATCCCAGTGTGTAGAGTTGTTCCTTCCCAGGGACAGGAGGACTTTGCTTTTTCCTTTGCTGAACTTCATTAGCTTCCTGTGATCTCATTTCTCCAGCCTATTGAGGTCCCTCAGAATGACAGCAGATTCACCTGATTTATCAGCCACTCCTTCCAGTTTTGTATCATCTATAGACTTGGTGAGGGTGGACTTTTCCCATCATCTAAAAAATTAATGAATATGTTAAACTGGTATCAGACTTAGCAGTGACCTCTCTGCGTGTCCCCTCCAGCAATGTGCTGAAGGCCTGGGAGCAGGCAGCTTGTGATCAGCGAGGCAGAGTAGCGCTTTAAGTGCTCTAACCCTCTGCCAACTTCAGATCTTGTTTCAAGATGAGACAGGAAAGATGCAGTTTCTGCCTCACGCTTCTTCATTTAGGATCCCCAGAATCATCTGCCTGGATTTTTTTAACTCGTACTCCAAGTATTCCAGTGTTCTCTGTGGGAGGATTACTCCTGGGAATCCAGGTCTGGAAATATTTCCTCATGCATTTTTAGAACACCATTCCTTCTTGCTGGCTTGAAAATGACATCTGCTGGCTATGGTACTATTCTGACTGCGGGAAAAACTCCTTTTTCCCAGGAAACTGGGAGGGAGGTAGGAGTAACTGATACAATTACCACTAAACGTGTCAGCTTCTTCAATCCCTCCTGTACTGACAGGACAGTAGTAAACTGTTTACAGCAGAGCAAAGTAAAGAGAACAAGTTGTTAAGTCTTGGACCCCAATTCTGAATTCCTTTTCAGACAAAATCTCCTGTCACTTGGGACTCAGGTTGACACTGTGGAAGCTGCCCAATGGAAATTGGCATATTTCCTTCACATAAAGGAATAAATAAACCAAGATCAAAGTCTTTGATCAAACTTTTTAGATGTGATTAATTTACCTTCTCCCTCTACCACATTCTAATATAGGTGACAATGCACAAAACTGCCTAATTTCCTCCACCATGGTACAAGCTGATGAACAGAGAGGAACTGAACAGAAAATGATGTGTTTTACGTACTTTTTTTTTAACACGTCATTTGGAAGAATCCCATTAAATTCTCAAACCACTCCAGAACCAAAAAAGAAACTTCATTTCAGCAGCAAACACTTTCTTCCTTCCCATCTGGACTGTACAGAGCTGTGTTCCAATGCCCTCTAGTGTGTGAAGTTAAATTTGCCTCTGATTAGCTCAGGCTATTGGCCTTCAAGAACCATCCCCAAGCAGACAAGTCTTAACTTTTCTGACCACCTTAACGGATATACTCCCTTAGATAGAGGACAAGAACTCTATACTGTCTGGTACGACAGACGCTGGAGCCAAAGCTATGCTCACCGGCCAACAGTGAGAGACAGGCTGTTTGTGTCCTGTAGTTTCTTTTAAAGTTGATCTCCTTCATTGCCATCACAAACATGCAAATGGGTGAACTTGATGCCTCACAAATGTCTAACTCGTCCCTCTAGGGATTGCCTGCTTGTACTACTGAACAACATTTTCTTGTAACCTTTTATTTTCCCCTCAATATGGCTACAAAGACACTTCTAGGCTTTTGACAAAAAGCGATTTTCTCTCTTACAGTCAACGTCCCTGATCCTGGTAACACCGATGCTTGCTATGAGCTACCCATTTTCAAGAACCTTTAACAACTTATGTGGAAAAACAGGTATGTGATGAGAGACCTCTCCTACTGAAGCACAAACAAGGTTTTGCCTGCATTCTCACTCTCAGGGTCTGTTTATCCTGATATCCGTCAATCATCTACTTCATCAATCCATAGATGGTCTTTCATCTTCTAATACAAAGGAACTATAATAAGTCATTGGAATCACGAGCATAACTGCTCATGATTGTAGCATAATGCTAGTAGCAGAACTGTCTAATGCTAAAACAGGTATTGGATGGTGGCATGTTTCACCAGTTCTAAAACCCACTAACTGAGCTTTTTTTTTGAGCTTAATGCTGTCATGACAAGGTGCTCCTCAGTTCATTTACTGTTCATGTACCCTTCATCACCTTGGAGTTGTATGTCATCAAAAGTTCTCTGGAGGTTATTTTAAGGATGTCACCATTTCAGTTATGACTTTATTTTGCAAGAAGTATTATTGAAAATGTGAGTAATTTCATTCCAAAATGTGGAATCTTTGCATCCAGCCATTGCTCAGAGAAGATGGTGGCAGCTGGTCAAAGTGGAATATGAAGGAGTGTAATGCAGGCAAGCAACTGCTTTTTAAGGGTCTGTTTATTAGTCAGATAATGGAACAAGAAGTTGGTCTCTGTGCTACAGTAAGTTTATATGAATACACTAGCCGGATATAGATGCCTCCCAGCACATGAATGAGACTTGCCCACAACGGTCTTCCATGTTGCTGCCACTTGAAACTCCTGTATTATTAGCACTCTCTTCCACACTCTACTCTCAGGGTCTCTGCACCAGGATCTTTTTTCAGAGCCTCACGGTCACAAGAGGGAGGGAGCTGGGATTCATCTTAGGAGCACATGTTCTAGATGCATCCCCACGCTCAAGGAAGACCACAAAGTCCCTCCATTTGTGTAGATTACTACCCTAAGGTGTGATCACCAGTTCAAGCTGACAAATTCTGGCTGTGTCACCAAACACATTGACTTCTGTGGTTCCTGATATTGCTGTAATCCAGCTAGCATAAGGGCTGCAGACCAAGTCAAAGCCACCTGGATCATCAGGACAGGTCTAACTGTCCTTATTTTGCAGTGTCAGCATGTCGCACGATACCTGACCTTATGTCTAACCACTGTGCTTTGTCTTGCAGGAAAATACAGAGTATCTTCTTCAGAACCATCCAGCTCTTCCTGTGAAAACAGTTCCAAGTCATACTCTTTGCTTAACTGAGGCACCTAATGCTGAAATGACCTCTTCCCTTTGCAAGACACATGCAAAAAGCACCTGTGAGTCATCAAGAAGCAGATTGCTTCACTTGGACTAAATTGTGCCTTGGTGCATTCTTTTGGAATAATCATTTCTGGTTAACATGTAAGGCAAGGAAGCTTTGAGAGGTGGAATTTTACAGAAGAGATGACAAGATGTTTCGAACTTGGCAGGATCTGAAGGCCTTCAAGTGCTGGAGAAGACATTGGGAGTGAAGAATTCCCAGCCTTTAAGAGGGTGCTTAGCACTATGCAGTACTGAGCCATGAATTACAGTGCTATACACACCTGTTGTCCTGTAAAAAAGTGGTTTTAGTATTTCTGCTATCAACTCTCTGCATGATTCCAAAGGCCTGTGTAGATACACAAGTACCTCATAGCTTCTCTCCTGCCCTTGTATTAGAGTCTGGAAAGGCCATAGGATATAATGCTCTCCACTTTCTATCTAAGACTTTCTGGAACTAAAGATCCACAACGGAGAAGGTCCATTTCAGATCTTCACTTTTGACTTAGAAAAAATGAAGACCATAATGATTCCTGAGTGGTCTTCTTTCAGATGGAATGTACTGAAAGCTCCATGTGGCACTTTTTTTGAAGAAAAGGAAGCTTTATTTCCTTAACTATAAATGTCCTTCCCTTAATATGTAATGTGATAAGACAGAGATGGTTGCTGCCCTCTACCACAGGGGGGACTACATTTATTTAATGTGTAGTATGTTAAGTATGCAAGGAGTCTTTTGTGTAAAGTCTGTATGTTTGGGTCTCCTCTCAGAGGAGAATCACGTTTGCAGGGCTCAGAGAGTCAACTCTGCAGTGAACACAAACCACCACGGGCCAGGAGAGATGAAAGGTTTTGTATAAATTATTGCTCTAATACTACATTTGTGGAATCAGTTATTTCCAAGCCTGTAAACTTTTAAAGGCAGGACTTCTGTGATAAACAGAGGGCTATGAGAGAGCCTGCGAAGTATTTATAGTGCATACAACTGTTACAAAACTTAACATAAAATATAATAGTTGGAATCACAAAGATTTAGATTTGAGACCAATATCATAGAATCACAGAATGGTTGGGTTGTAGATCATCCCGTTCCAACCTCCCTGTCGTGGGCAGGGACCCCTTCCACCAGACCAGGTTGCTCAAAGCCCCATTGAAAGAGGACTTGAACATTGACAGGGAGGTGGCAGCCACAGCTTCTCTGGGCAACCTGGACCAGGGCCTCATCACCCTCAGAGTAATGTATTGCTTTCTTGTATCTACCAAATATCTTAGAGCAAGCACTGCTGTCAGCTAATACAGTCCTATCTGGTTGCTGGGGAATCAGGCCTACATTTACCAGTGGTGAACCTGTTCCCAGGACTTTGGGATGAATCAGGATGGAAAACTGTTGCCTTCAGTTACAGGCAAGTGTGACGGTTTGGTATGGGCAGGTGGTGATGATTGAAGACAATAAACAAGCATCAGTCAAATGTATTCTTTATATTGAAAGCAATTTGTTTTCGCTTGAAGACGTGGATATAATACTAGAACTACAACACAGTTAGAGATTAAGAAATATTTGAAAATCCAGACAGTCTTTGAACTGAATGGCCAGTGGAAAGTTGAAAATCAGACCTTTGCACAGTATTCCAGCCAAAATTTGCCCTTGGACAGCCATTTGGTCTAACCCACTCTGGAAGCAGCTTGTGCAATATTGACCTGCTGCAGAATCATCCACTCCCACTGAGTTAGAATAGGTTTTAGGTAAACGGTGAAGTAGAAGTCCCTGTAGACAGCACAGTCGCACCACACCATATCTCTGCAGCGATTTCACCCCTGTGGTTTCACCATACCTCCCTGTTTAGCTAAGCATGGGTCTCGACTGTGTGTGAATGAGAAATCAGGATGTGATGCCAAGCTGTCTGGCACTGAAGTGCCACCTTTGGGTGGCTCTTCAAAGGCAAGGTCCTTGCCAATGTTATGAAAGCCATGAGAGTTCATGAAAGATAAGCAGTTAAGAAATTAACTGTGCCAGTCTTTAAGACTTGGGGCCAAGGCCTCACTTGTGTTTATACATGGATCAAAATAAAAGGGGAGAGAATAAGAGGTGGAAGGGAGTGCTGAATGGGGGAAGAAGGGCAACCCCACGTTGTCAACCACCCTGCACCCCTCCTACCCACTCTCAGCAGAAAGAACTAGGTCTTTGGCACAGTCAAAGTGGGCAGTGAGCTCATCAACAGCTTGCTCCCCTCAGGAGCCTGGCATTGTGGGCAGCTGGCTATTTTTGAGTAGCTGGCCCAGTCCTTCGCTTTGTTCTGACTAAAGCCCAAACCCCTACATTCACCCCCTTCCCGAAGTGAGGGCTGTCACAAGGCTTGTTTCCTGATGGTTGCTCTCACTCATATACGTCCTCCTGCTTAACTCCAAGGCATTAAGCTAAAGCACATTGCAACAAAAACCTGCCAGTTTACCTAATCTTTGGAAAGGGTGGGATCTCTGCTTTACTCACGTTTTACAGCATTCCATGGAGAACAGTCATTGCCTTGGCTCCTCTGATTTACTCCAGCTCAGGAAAAATAGTAAAGGAGGGGATTGTGACATACAGGTCTCTGAAGAGCAGACCTGCCTTCTCTCACACTACCTGCTTAGAGTTCTTGGATTGTGACAGTTGCTGAATAACCCTTACCTGTGCTTCAAGCCCAGATTTCACCTTTCATTCCTTAAAGACTTTGAGAACGTTTGACACAAACAATGCAAAAAGCCCAGGACCATTTCATCCGCGTTACAGCGGCCAGTGAAAATCAATGTGCCCCAGAACTAAGGTTTACAGTTGTGCCATCCTGATGACGTGTCTTTGGACCATGAAGCCAATTATACTCTGATCTCTGATGTTTTCCCCGCTCAGCAGTCTGGCCAGCATGTTTACTTCTTACACTGCCCCAGGAAACACATTCAGGAAACAGCTGCATTTTGGAAAAGTCAAGGTAGACAAGAATAAAGATTTTCCCCCCAGCCCATGTACAAACTGCCCAGTATGTAAGGGGTGTCCAACTGCACGTTACCATGTAGCACCTGTGACCTCAGGTAGATTTGTTAATCCCGTGAGCAAAAGAAATCAGGTTCATTTCTTACAGGATTGTGTCCTGTACCCACCAACCCTCTTCCCTTTCCAATCATCCAAGTTTCCATGGCCTTCCTCCACATACCCAGTCCTCATATATCTCTGCCCCGCTAGATTCTGATCTCCCTAAACCTCCTCCCTGTACAGATGGTGATTTCCTCCTCCCTCATCCACCCTGCTGCCAGCAGCTGGTAGGAAACTGGATGTGTTGTGAGGAGGGCCTAGCCACAGAGGTGATGAAGGTCTGGCAGGGGCTCACCAGGGGCTGGGATGGTCACCTTCTGCCCGTCCCTCCCTCGGTGGCAGCTCTAGCAAGCTCTAACAATTGTCAGTACTTGTGAACTCATAACAAGAACTTCTCTGAGGCTTTTGATCCTCGACAGCTAACAGGACTTGATGGTGTTGAGAAGACATGGGATGGTCAGGCAAATTCACACATGGACCATGTAAATTCCTTAGTACTCTCCTGGTAGGAAACCAGGATAAAAGCGTATGATACAATCTACACCAAGTCAAAAACTCTTTCCAAGTTCATTTCAGGTTTTTCCTCGTGGTAAGTGGTGTTAATCCTCCCACAGCCTCTTCTTGGATCACTCCTTCCTTCTTCCCCCTCTTCGCGGGGTAATGAATGGTGCACATCTCAGCACGTTAGTTTTTATTTTATCGGGCAGGAAGGAGGCTTTCCCCTCCAACCCACGCTGGTGGGTTACCAAGCCTGGTAACCCTGGCTCCGGCCTAATGCTCCCCTTTACTAACTAAACTGGGGAGTGGAAGTCAGCCCCCAGCCGCAAGGGAAGGGGATGGAGCTGTTGCACCCGGGAAAGAAGAGCTGTGGGTGGAAGGCAGTGCTGGCTCCGTTGTGCAGTCTGCCCTTGCCCGTAGGCTAAGTACACCACGTTGGCTGTGTCTTGTGCTTTACCCTGGCTTTCCAACAGCAAAGTCCTTGAGAATCATGTGGTCTGGCCATATCTCTGCCTGCCTGTCTGCCTCTTGAGAAAGGGGGTGTGCACTGCACGGGGTAACACGGCTGGCTTCTTGCAGGCGTCATTGGCTATGCTGCAGCCTGGCCCGGGCAGCTGGTTCCTGTCCCTGGGCAGCTGTGCCCCTGCCACTGATTTACCCCCAATGATTGTAAATAAACTAGCGTGTGGGCCAAATGAGAGCTTGCGGGATTTTTTCCACTTCCTACCTGGCAGGAACGAATCACTCAAAAGCAATGCTCTCCAGAGGGGGTCCTGGTTACCCCCAGTCCAGGACTGTTGCCAGCATCGCCCAAACCATTTAACCTATGCTGTCTCCAAGGCCAGGCAAGCCAGGGTAGCAAAGAAGTGGTCTGTCCACAGCCCTCCCTGCAGCAGCGGTGGCCAGCCAGCCCTGCAGCGAGAACCCCCATTTAACTATGGGTCTGCAGCAGCCAGCCATGCTGGGAAGGCTGAGGTGTCTTAACAATGAAGAAAATATATGTCCATGAGAAACATCTAGTTCCAGCCCCAGCCTTGGATGAGGGAAGAACCACACAAGGGCCAGCCCACTGTGATGCTCTGAAGCATTAGAAAGAGTCTCCATTTCTTACACCAGCAGAAGATCTGGCAGAGGGGTGGGGGAGCAGAGATAAGTGGGATTGTTTGCGAGCACCCGAATCATTTAAATGAAGTCTGAAATGCCCCAGCAATCACTGCAGAAGTCTTTTCCACCTTTTTACCCCATTGAGCCTGGGCTGCAGTTCCTGTTTTGCCCTGACTGAGTAAGTGAATGAGGCAGGACCACACTCTTGACTGATGCCATTGCTGATTAGAAAAGCCACAAGAGATAGAACAAGCACCTTGCTTGAGAATTACTGCTGTGACAGCTCTTCCCAGGGGAC